TGCTCGATCAGGCTAGGGAGGACGGTACAAAAATTGTCACCGATCCCACAGAACGGGGCGGTCAGTCCCATCCCGAGCCTTCCCGATCCTGGATACTCCGATTGACGCGATTACGAGCAAACGAGAGAGGAATCGGCGCATGGAGTGACAGCTCTTCGCATCGGGGATCACGGAGCAGCGATCATGCGTCGGCGCGTGTTTTCAGAGGAGGAGCCCAGATGTGTGAATTTCATTCCCGAGCAACAGAGTAACGCTCGGAGACCTCGAAGACTCCATGGAGCCGAACAATGAGCAGGACAAGGCCACACGGCCGACAGTCGAGGCTGTCATCCGTGGACGGGACGCTTTTTAGCCCTTAGCACTAGAGACCCGGAACGCACAAAAAGAAAAACAATGTCGATCGGTGTAGCATCGCTCCGTGCAGATCCCCTGTCAGAACATCTCACGAGCGCTACACGCGTCGCCGCCGCGGCTTCTCCCTCGAATCCAGCAAAAAACGTGCGGTCTCTTCGATGTAAACGCGACCCACCGCTTGTCTCCGTCAGATGATATACTGCGAGTGGAGACTGCTCTCCTATGATCTCGATCGAGGTTTTCGTATTCGCTCTTTTCTTTGCCAAGCTTGAGTGAATAGTTTGCGGGGAAAAAAGTGCGCAGAAGCTCCGAGTCCCATTCGGCGGAATTCCTTCCCTCCTGCGAGCCCCGTTCAGTCTCCCCTCTGCTCCACCATGCCATCTTCCTCAAGCGCACGATTTCACGGTCAAGTCCCTCATGAAGAAAGTCCGAATATGTCGGAAGTTCCAACGTACGGGAACGGGACAGTCCGGTAGCCACACAAGCCCTGTAATGAATCTACTTTTTTTGATGAGGACGGATGCTGACCTATCCGAATCGGAGCCAGTCGATCGGAAGGGACAATCTCAAGAAAAGTGGAGCTTTAATGATCGATGCCTGCTGGAATCCGAACCGATCGGTTTCCTCGTTGTCTTCAGGTGCTGTTCTCAGCAGAATATCAGGGATACAGGATTTGCTTCTGCGGATTAGGATCGTCGTCGCGGACGACGACGTCATCATCATCGACGCGATACGGGTTCCGGCGGTAAGAGGACACACTTCGAGAGGATTTTTACGAGAATTATTATCGGGATGAACCCCCGCGAAGCCTCGGGCTGGACTAATTCCAATTCCACCCAGTGCCGGAGATCGAACCATTCCTCGGAGAAGAATAAAAATACGTCAGATTAGAAAAATCAGCTCGGGAGCCAAGTCATCGATTGCCGTCCTAAAAACATCCGGTCTCGATAATAATGGTTCAAGTTTCGGACGCTTGTTATTCGAGTCGTGGGTGATTCCTCGGTGACGGTCCCGGTCGGCATGTTCAAAATGAAGCCCTCGGAGCCCCTCAGAACAGGAGGGAGCCGCGGAACGACTGGGAGCGATTCCAGAAACTTGTGGAATTCGGACTCATTTGGGTCTCTCTTCCTCCGCCGACATCAGTCTTATGTCCCTCGATCCCCGGATTACACGAGCGTTGCGGGAACATCGAACGTCGCGTAAGGTTCTCCGATCCCGAGCTAATGTCCGGGAGCGTTCCGTGAGGATTTCAACCTAAGATTGGAGCGATCGAAAAAGAATCGCGCCAAGTGTCGAATCGTCCATTCTGTTCTTCGTATCGAGGCCGCGACGGCTTCGCTGGAATTAGAGTCACCTGGTGTAATCTCTTACATTCGGAATCGTCTGTGGAGCTTGAGCTCGGCCGTTCTGCAAAACACTTGGACCGGTCCCACGCAATCCGCCTCCTCGCTCGCTCGATCGATCGATGATCCAGTGATTTGTCAAGGAACTTCACTGAGCCTTCGAATTTCTATCAACGACTTTTAATATGGTCAGTCTCGGCTCAGACGCAGACTCTCGCCTCCAATGACTCTACGGAATCCGAAAACTTTCATCGGATCCCTAAACAAAGGGATTCGCAACGGTGGTTGTTTTCTTGTGAGAACGTATTGAGCGAGAAGACATCGATCGTAGAAGATTGGGGCTGTCCTCTCCGAAGCCGATAGAATCACTCCTTTCCCTTGCTTTGAGGATTCTGACGAACAACGTGGCTTCCGCACATGATATATTGATTTCGCATATTTCCGTACGTCGTCATCATCGAATGTTTACGATGCCGCCGGGGTTGGACAATTCGTCTAAACGACCGACCCACGATGTTCTACCCCGACGCAGGCGAATCCGAGCTGGCGCTCGCGGATCTGTAGGCTTCGGCGAGAAAAACATCTTCTGGAAACTTCCTTCAAGGCGAGCATTAGTTTCCGACGTGAAACAATACGTGTATTCAGATAGAGAACCGATAATCACTTACGCGGGTGTCGAAGCCGTACGAGGCGTCGGTGCTGGAGCATTTCATGAGCATCGACAATGTTTAGCGACAGTCGAGAGAACTACATGAAATGGGGATCGCTCCCCTCGGGCGGCATCGGCGTCTCACTGAAATTCTCGCTCGGTGGGAGATCCTCGCAGAAGCTTCCTGTGGGGGAACTTCGTGATTTTCATTCCGTGGAAGTCCGAAATTGAAGCCGTGAGCCTTCGCGGATTCGGTGGAATTCATGATAATGAGTCCGTGGGAGCCCGGAATACCCTAAATTTTTGAGCTGGAGAGCCAATGCCCTGCCGTGGCCAATGTAAAAGCCCACCTGCCAACCCCGAAACGAACACTTTTGCGATCATAGGCATACGTCTCAACTTTTTTCGTCCGCGATACATGAGAGTACTCGAAACTCGCATTCCTTCCGAATAATTTCGCACCGGAGCGCTCGCTGTAGAAATGCGACGCATCATACATACACTGTCTTGCTGATGGACGACCACGGTGCCGACGCTGACGTACGTATGTCAAAGTTTTCGTCAAGTTCGACTTCGCGGTCAGGCGGGTAGGTACTGTACAGCTTGATCTTTCCGTCGCAGTCTCGGAACGACAAGAAGGGATCAAAAGAGTCCAATAGGAGAAAAAGACGACCCTGCGCCAGCGACGGAATCTCCACGTGCATTAGTCGCCTGACTGCATCATTCAGACACAATAGACTGAAAAATACGTCGTTGCAGCACGTATGCGTGCGTCGCGTCGTATGCCTGCCGCGCACTGACGTTCGTCCCGCAACGACCGCGTCCTTTCTGAATCATGAACTTCGTCAGAGTAGAAATGTTTCATGCCTTCATGACTTCGCAACAACGCGGAAATGATAAATGAGGGGACGAGTAAGTCTCGAAAATGACTCCAGACTCTTCCACGTAACGTGCCCAGCGCTCAGACGTCTGTCTCGTATGACAGAAATAAATATCCGGTCTCCTCCTATCTGAAACTCCCCGTGACAAATCACAACTCCTCGAGGATTGCGACGAGCGGCTGTGAACTCAGAACGCACACCGTTATTATCGGAGATAATCACGATGGGGATTCCACGGTGAAGTCGTTCCAAACCGAAAATATCCAGCTTCTCGCTGAGAACATTAATGACACCAGCTCCAAGAGCGAGAAGCACTGGGGTCGATGCGCCTCAGTGAAGGAATCCGGCTGCGGAAGAAATACTCGATTAAATTCTTTCCAAGCTCCTGACGTAAGTAGATTGTGCGAAGGGCGCCGATTTTTCTGCGCCGAAAGCCGATGCAGCTCGGGCCCGTCAGGATCTTTAGGCTTCAGCGGCTCCCATCCAAACACACAGTTCCATAGTGGAGGCAAAAAAGCTCGTCGTGGAGCGTGAATGGGTTCCTGTGGAAGATGCCGCTCCCGGTTTGCTCCCATGCATTCCTTGCCCAACCCATGAGGCGAGCAGTTGATCGGACTTCATTGATTCATCAGCTGTGGGATAGACAAAGGAAATGTTGCTGACCTTGTACGTTCATGCTCACCCGTGAAGCCCGCCTCCCTGGCTGCACAGGAACGTCGTACCCTATGTTACGACAAAGAGCTTATCGCGGAGGGAATCGGAATCTGTAACAGGACTTCTACCTAGCACCGACGCCGACGCGACCGCGAAAATGAAAATCCTGATGCATGATACATATTTCCCAATCGAATCGGGACCGAAGAGGGTTTGGAGTCTCATCAATGGATTGAAACAGCCACAGTTCCCTCATGTCCCTTCACGGCGAACGCTCACAGTCCGAAATCGAGGTCAGCATCGGCGTTGCTTTTGGTAGTAGTTTGGAATCTATTATACACGCTCTTGTGAGTTCACTCTGACTTCAAATCCGGCCCCCGAGTAATTACAACAGGAAAAGCCCTTCCACCAGAAGTCAACTGGAATGCTCTCGCCAGCAGGAATGCTTACCTGGCTGCTCGTCGAGTCAGAGCTGAGAGAACTCGTTCCAAGGCCGCCAGCGTCTCTTCGGAATCACGCTTCTGGCCTCGAATGGAACAAATCGCCGCTGCGAGAAGCCGTGCACTTCAACCCCTTCTCGGGAAAGCGAGGAAATAATGACGGGAGAAGGGACGGAGCCGAGAAAAATAAGGATTCGGAACTTGAAATCCCCTTGTCGTGTTTCTGCTCGCCTCAACAAGCCCTCCGTGTTCTCGTTCAATCAAGATCCTCGAGGATTATCCAGAACTGACCGTTCCCGCTGCAGGCAAGCAAGCAGAGCAGCGGCGTGGCCAGGGACCGCGTTCAATACCCTGCCCCCCAAGCCTCTCGCCAGAGAACCCGCCACCGCAGCAAAAAGCTCGGGAACGGAAAAAAATGAGAGAACAAGAAAGAAAGAGGGGAGAGAGCATTTCCGGAATTTCCGACGGGAGCCGACACCCGTCGTCAACTTGATCTCTGGGGAACTGAGTCGCGGTCTGAGTATGGTGTTGCGGCGAGATGATACCTTACTTTCCGAAGTGCAGAGTACGCAAACCGTGTTTCTCAAAAGTTTTCGATTTTGTTCTGCTCCAATATCTTACGCAAGTTTGCTGAGGAGTTTCGATCCGAATGATAGAAGAGTTAGTCCCTCGTTTTCACTTCGACATTTTATTGGCTTCACTTTCCTCACTCGCCTATCTAGTAGAGTCCGCCGTAGTATCCTCCGTAGCCGACTCCGCCGTAACCTCCGTAGCCGAGTTTTCCGTATCCACCGTAACCGAGACCCGCATAGCCGAGACCCCCGTAGCCGAGCTTGCCGTACCCTCCGTATCCGATTTTGCCGTAGTATAGGGGAGCCTTCTGATTATCGAATGAGTAGGAGATGCCGGAAGAATAGCCGTGACCGAGGTACCCAGCGGACACGCAGCAGACACCAGCGGCGACGACGACGAAGAGCAGAGGAACGAACTGAGGGAGAAACGAGGAGTCCAAATGAGTTCGAGCAAATGAGTAGATCACCTCACTCCAGTGTTTTCTCCGAATGATCACACATGACGCGCGGTGTGACGGACCTCCCACCTCCCAAAGGTGCTTCATTGCCCAAAACTGACAAAGAAAAACTCACCTGCATTGTGCCGAGTTGAACGATTTCGAGACACGGAAACGATCTGCATATCCAGAACAGTTTCCCGCTTATATCTAAACCGGTTACCCTCACTTTCTCCGGCAGCGGTTCTAACGTGAAACAATTATTGAGTTTTCGCAGAAACTTCGGCTCTGTTTTTTTTTCTTATAGAGGCGAAAACCGAAATTCTATTGCCGTGCGGAAACTCATTTCTGGGGACTTCACTCACGCTCAAAAAATCTAACGATACGTCAGCTAAGGGTTCTCAGTTTCCGAACGCGAGTTTTTGAGCCGAAACTTCTGTATCTGTCGTCACGCGGCCGAATCAAACTTCCCGTCGAGCTAGTCGGAGCTGTGAGAAAGTTGTCCCGCGATATTCTGGCCTCGAGCTGGTTGTGGCGGAAGTGGATCTGTATCGTTATCTTCGTTAGAACCAATGATTCACGCTTTGGTCCCGAGATTTCCCGAAGCCACCGGTCTCGGGCTTCTTGTTCTCTGGCGAGATTACAACGGCAGCACACTCTCCGCGGACCACTAATTGTACGCACGGCCATCTCATTCGCCTTCAGAGAGTTTCCGGTCCGAACAGTCTGAAATACATACCTACTTTCTCGAGCAAGCCGGGAACTATGAGGAGATCGGCGGTGGGCCACTCCGGGATGAAACCCACCGGATCCCGTGTTTAGAATATGTATTTCTTGTACTAAGCTGCCGCCCGGCCGTAAATCCGAATGAATTCCGCGCCGCGTAGAGCTTGGCAAAAAAAGTAGCTCGCCGCCCTAGTCGTCGGTCCGTCTCGCCGTCGAGTCTCTCTGAATATAGTTTGAGGAAATCGTTCAACTTCCACCCCGTTTCCAGGCGAAATTCTTGATATTTTCGGTGAGATTACCGCCATGAAATAGATTTCAGGAGCACATGTCAGACTAGAGAGTGAAAGCTCATCCTTGAAATTCCGCCTACGCCTAGCAGAAGATCGCGGGCGTGCGACCATCGCCCTCCGCAGAAATATCGTTTCTCTGGATGATCATTATACTATTCCTGTATCATTCGATGTCTGTCTCCGGGTGACGTTCCCGTCTCGAATTTCCCAGTCATATGAAGAAGACGCTTTCTCGAAAAATGGTTTGAGCTCATCGTCTCTGGGCCCGAGTGAAGCGAACGGTCTCGTTTCGACTGACGCACGTCGATCTATGCTACGGGATTTTCTTGGACACGTCAACCTCGCCCCGTGCATCTCCAAAGAGTTTCATGGCCTAATCCGGGAGTGTCCGAGCGGACATGTCCAAGCGCGAAACGGCGCTCTATTTTGCCCAAAATCCAGCTGCTGCAAACGACCCCTCTCGCTTCCGAAAATCACAGCACTTCGGATGCTCAAAATGTCAACACTCTCCCCGCGATAGGTTCCGCTAATGACACTTTTGCGAGTTCCGTTAGCCGGGGATTCACTCTTCGCCCGGAGAGCAACTCCGTTTATTGTCCCGCTCAGCGGTCAAGTTTCAAGCGAGCTCGGCGCGTAATCGCTGCGTCATTTAACGTATTCACTATGCGCCCGTAGCGACTATTGTCTCGGCTGCAGACGCCTGACCCCGATTAGGCTGGAAGCGCCCCCGCCTACGGCTGTGAGTCAGGAAGATCATTGCGGATGCTCAACGTCGTTCATTCACCGGTTCCCTTTCCGCCCGTCGAAGATGATCTGGGGGCCGTCTCCTCCCCTTACCTTATAACTGCAGCAACAAACTCCTGTTCGGACCCCCATAACCAATAGAGCATTGACTGCGGCAACTCGACGAGAATGTTCCCATGTGTGCGGAAATTCTGCAGCTCACTCGAGGAGGGAGGAACGTTGGATACCCACGAATAGTAGCGATCTGGTGGTTGCTGGGAGCCCTTGGGGACTTGTCCCGGCACTTAAAAACATCATCCGATTCTCTTATCTTATTCGAGGCACAAAAACGGAAAACACGGAGGCGTTCCGACTCAGATGAAAGGTTAGCTCGTTAGAGTGGCCTTCTCCATCAGATCGAGACTACATGGAGTCGGTTTTCGACGTCAGAGGTGACGAGAATTTTTTTCCGGCAAGACAATCGAAGAGCGATTGCTCTCGGACTAGCCGGATCAAATACTCAGCGAGCAAGACTCCCCTATTAGATCGCGGCCTGGATGCGATAAATTATCCGTGACCATCAGATTGTATGGGACGGAACTTGTACATGGCTGTCGAAGACATCAAGGTCGCCAGCCTGTAATACAGGAATGCTTCTCCCGATATTGACTGGCTGACGGCTGTGTCAGAGCTCTTAGGGGACAAGCGATCCCTCGCTTCGTTAGTCCACACTTCCCGAGTGTTTTGGTCCCCTCCCGGTTGCTACAAGGCGCTCGTCTCGATAGATTAAATGCGACACATTCCCGATCGTTCTCGAGAACTCCGAAAGCTCGCTCCTCGACTGTTGAATAGTGGAGGTCGAGCGAAGTCCCGGAGAAATCGTCGAGTATCGGCTGCAGGTTGCTGCTGCATGCTTGATTCTCGATGTTCCCTGACTTTGACACAGCTCTGATATCTGATGCCCGATCCTGATATCTGATATCAGTTGATGACGAAACTCAATAATAAGCAATAATGTAGTATGAACCAATGCAATGAACAGCTGTTCAGAGGTCTGCTTTCGATGCCCGCTCTCGGCTCGATGCGCTGTTCGGTTCTTGTTTGCTTCCCACAGGAAAAAGTCTGCCCATATCGCAGCTCTAGCCATGATTGTTCCCCGATGGAGTGCAACACAAAAGAATCGATTTCGACACCGGTTATGTGTGTTGTGGGAATATCTGACTCTATCCTAATGGAATGATCGAGTAGCAGTCTACGTACGCTCGTCGAATTACCTTGAGCATTGAGATCATCGTGTATGGAGTTCCTCAGCCAGCGAACCGGGATATCCACAATGGGTCCAGAAGAGTACTCATTCCTGATCTAGCGATTTCGATGAGAGAGCCGTCTTTCCCGCGCAACAGGACGGCCGCAGAGAAGATTTATATGGCCGAATAATGATTGTATTCCGCGCAGTATACGTACATCCGAGCTCTGGCTGAAGCTCAGGGGGAGAAACACAAATGCTCCAACTGGCCGGTATACCTGCCGGGACCGCACGGCATTTCCCCGGCTCGCTTTCGTCTCGTCGAGGCAGGGAGGTAATATCTAGTGGGATAGACCAATCAGACGGCCATTTCTCAACTTTTTGGAATTTTGCGGAGTGCGAGGTCGCTTCAGCGTGTTGCATCGATCCGGAGAGGCGGCCAGGCTCAATGTCGAAGAAAACGCCGACGAAGATGGAAGAAAAGTTTTCGCCCGGGCGCAAGCTTAATATCTTCCTCAAACTCGGCCACATGGAATCCCGGATTCCCTTAGCAAGGATTAAGTCGCGTCGCTAGGAGCCCGCGATGGCTCTCTCATGCTTTGCTCTCCGTATGCCCTATAAGTCCCAGCTCACGACGACAGCGTGTTGTGCTGATACCGTCTCATATTTCGAGAACCCGGAGAGAAATACATTTTTCCGATCCCATCTCATGGGATCTCCCCTTTCCGTGGGCGACTCTGGTAGAGAATAGGAACTGGTTGTTTTTTTCGTGCACGAGATTCGCTTCCAGCTCGTTCTTCCAGAGAACTCGGAGCCTTTCTTTGCCCAGTACTGATTGAGAACCTCGATAGTCTTCGAACAGTCAGAAGGAGACATCGCGAAATGAACAAAGAGTTTTGCTTCGCGACCGTCATACCAGAATATTGTCGAGAGTTTCATTCAGGAGCGCAGCCTCGAGAAGGCTTATTCAATGTCTCAGGCTTGCTCGAATGATCACGTATGGCGTTGCGCGCCGTCGCTGACTGAACTTCATCCACCAAAGATTACGCTAGGGGAACGAATCTCTCACCCAGTCTGGAGAACCGAATTCGACTACTCGAAACTTCTCGAGTACTCAGGGAATTTTCACCAAGGCCCCGTTCGGGGTACGAACATTCGGAGTGTCGGTCTTTCTGGTCATGCTCCATGAGTCCGAGCACTAATCGGACAACTTCGCGGCGGGTGATAAGGACCAAGAGCTCCTCGTCAAGGCGGAAGAGACCAGAGTCCGAAACTGTTCTCAACCTGAAACATTGTTTTCGACGCTCAAACCCTAATTTATTGTATTCCCGATCACATGCGAAGCGTAGAATTCCCAATCGGCTCGTAAGACAATCCCTCGCCCAGACGGAGGCTCCAGCCGAATCTGTTTAGACTGCCCACAGGAGGGAAAGCTCGGATATTCCGCTTTTACGTCTCCTTCTCCTCTCCGAGATGTTCAGGGCGAAACATGAGGTCCGAAACGGATTGTAGACAGAAGGAGCATCGGACTAATCTATTGAATTATTATGGAACTCGAAAGACAGACTTGGGTATTAGATTTATTGAAGTCGAGAATCATTGGGGAGACTCATTGTCTGTACAATAGAACTCCCCGCCCTGATCAGGGAAGAGGCATCGAGGGAGATCCCGCCTTTTTCTCAAAAAAAACACGGGACCTATATATGGGACTCGCCGCGGGCGATGTCCTCTCTTCCGCTTCCGTTCGGAGTGCTCGAAAAAGCGAACGTTTGGCATAGAGCTTCCATTTCTTTGCAATTAGGTAACTGTGAGACGTACTTTTTATTCGCACGAATCTCACCGCCGAGCCATTTGCGAGTGGGTCGCGTCTTCTCCTATCCAAAGGAATTAATTTAGAGAACCGGTTTCGTATAACATTCGTCTGGCACTCACTGATAGAACCATGCATGAGCACTCCAGTGTGAGGACTTCTTCCATCGAGAATTTCGGCCAGGGGGCCGTCGGTGATGATATCGGGGCCACAAGATCCCTGTACGATGAACTCTTCGTCAGAGACGGCAATAATACCACTGAGTGAGTGAGAAACGATAATGAACGATAATAACAATAATTGTAGTAATCTCGGACCGAGTCCGTCCTCCTTTACCCAATGGCTTGGGGAGAGTCCTTCATCGTCCCCTGTGGACAGA